CCGGGGTCCGGGGTCCGGGTCGGGGCCGGGGTCCGGGTCGGGGCCGGCAGGGCGTCGTAGCGGTGCACGTCTGGGCTGGATACGGCGCTGCTTCCTCTTCGCGAGTCTCCCCGCCGGCTCTTCCTCCCCGCGCTTGCGTTCGGTGTGGCCGCTCCTCCGGGCTGGACGGGAGCGCATGTGGAGTCTCCTGCTCCCTTGTAGACGGAACCGAATTCCGAGCACCGGATTGTAACTTTTTCTTCTATTTATTTTGGCTAGTGATTTCGTATTTAATAAAGGCTTTCGTTCTTGGGGCGCCTGGGTGGCTCAGTGGGTTAAGCCTGTGCCTTGGCTCAGGTCATGATCTCAGGGTCCTGGGATCGAGCCCGGCAGCAGGGAGCCTGCTTCCTCCTCTCTCTGCCTCTCTGCCTACCTGTGATCTCTGTCTGTTACATAAATAAAATCTTAAAAAAAAAGAAAAGGCTTTCGTTCTTACATAGTAGGTGAGGGAAAAGCAATGACTTTAATTGGTTTTGCTGTTTTATCATCTACTTGAAAAGGTAACAGAAAGCCTATTCTCTAAAAAAAACCAGCTGCATTTATTAATGGATTCGTTTTGGCCATCCAGTTAAGAGTATATCACTGGAGAGGAGGTGTGGGGTCCTGGTTGAGTACCAGCCGCTGGTTCATCCAGATATGTGACCTTGGAGCTCCCTGGGTGACTTTGCTCAGCTGTCACCTGCCTCCTGAGCGTGGATTCGAGGCGAGGCAGAGTGTGCGTAGAACCCCGCCTGGCCAGCAGCAGTCAGTAAATGTTGGTAAAGAGCTGGCGCTCTCATCTGTGGTCCCCGCCACCCCGCTCACTTCATAGTCCCTGCGCTGATGTAGTCGGACAGCCGTGGTGGGCGAGGCCTGGTCTGGAGAAAGAGCTGGTTCAACCCTCCAGGACTGAAGGGTCCGCAGGGGCTTTCCCACGCGCCGGCTGGGTTGACAACCGGGTGACTGTCCTCTCCTCCTCGGCTTCTGGCTTCTTTCTTCACTCCGGTCTGCGCTGCTTTGCGGCAGGTTCCCGTAGCCCCCAGCGCTCTCACAGGACTGTGTGTGGCCCTTGCGTGCAGACGTTCTCAGTCTTGATAGATTCACGGTACACAGCGTGTTCCTCCCTGGAGGAACGGGGTCTCCTTCCCTGGCCGTAGCTTTAATCCCATAGCCTCAGTCTCCACCTAAACGAGGGTTTCGTACCCTGAAAAAGCAGCTTCTGACACTTGTCCCAGCTCTAGTTCTCGTGCTGCAGTTCATGCTGCGTCTGTACTGAGTGCGGGGCACAGCCGCGCTCTTGTGACATCTGGAAGTGTCTGTAAAGAAGCCAGCGTGTGAGAACTTGGTCCCGCTTTACTTTTGAATCATTCCATCTAGAATCTAATGGAAGTGTCTGCTCGGGTGATGTCCCTGTGTGGCCGCTGGCGTTTCCGTCTGTAGCTAAGCATCCTGCTTCAGCCTGTTTGTAGACACAGCTCCCCCCCTCACCTGGAGGTCCTAGAGCCAGGGGAGGGGGGCATGGCCACGCTCCGGACTGCGTCCGAGGGAGCGCTGTATGTGGGAGAGCGCTGTGGAGCCGGCCACCAGTGGGCGTAGCGCACTCAGCCCCTCATGCTAGTTCAAGTCCTGTTGTGCTGCTAAGTGAGCCACACAGAAATTCCGGTGTGAGGGCCGTAACGGGTTTCGCGGATGCGGCTAAAAGATGATGGTGCTTCTGTGTCTACACTCGTGACCAACCCTAGGAGGAAGGCCACTTCAGGCTTCCTTCCCCCTTTCCCTCCCGGCCTCTGCCTCCCTTCAGTGAGGCCTTCCCCGGCTTCCTGGCCTAAGATTTCAGTTCCTGTCCCCACTGCTGACGTGCCTGTCCTCTTGCTTGCTCACATTTCTTTATCACTTGTCACTGTGGGCACCAGGTGTGTTCTCTTAGCTACCATGGTCACCGTCTCCCTCCCTGGCACGCGTGCATCACCGGGGGAGGGACTTGGTCCCTTGCCCAGGGCAGCTCCCCTGTCCCACGGTGGTGCCTGGCTCATGACAGTCACTCAGTGTTGGTTGAATGCGTGACGGCGTAGATGGATAGATGAAGTTTTCTTTAACTTTAGAACAGTTCTTGAAACATAAATTCCTTGTCTTCCAACAGTGACAGTCATGAGTGGAAAAAACTAATTATGGTTCACCACTGGCCCGTGACAGTGTGCAAGGTGAGTTTTTCTGCCTCGACTGGCCCCGTTCATCTGGTGAAGAAGTCCCGTGCGGAGTGGGTTTCTGTATCCACGTTTCCTCGCGGAAACGTGTCATTCGTAGTCCTCCTGACGTGTCTGTCATAGCTGCTCTCTGTCTCTGGGTCCAGTTTCCTAAACTTCACGCCTCATTGTCGCTTTCTGCCTTTAGGGCTGTTGCTGCGCAGGCTAGAGTAGTGTGACCAGCTTTGGGTGTCACTGCAGACCTGGCTCCCCACCCTGCCAGCTGGGCCTCACGGGAGCCCGAGTTCCTGTGGGCAGGGCCCTGTGGGGAGCTCCCGTCTTGGGTAACACTGGAAGATCTGCCTTTGGGGCAGGGAGTGGGGTCCTTTGGTAGCTGAGGCGTTTCTGCAACAAAATGTGGGTGTGTTCCTGTGCACGGACCTGCATCCATGCATGGAAATGCATTCTGACCTTGAGGCTTCAGAAATTAGATTTTTAAAAAGTCTTCTGCTCATGAAGTGTCATTGTCAAGGAATTAATTTCTCTACAGGATGCCCAGGACGAGGGCTCCCAGTACTCTGGCCCTGGTGTCATCCTGGGGAGTGGGGGTTGGCTCCAGGCTCATTCCCTGCGTGTGTAACACAGGCATTACAGGGAGCGGCTGGTGTCTCTTTCTCCACGATCCTGGGCCCCGGTTGTCCCCTTAAAGACTCATCTGAGACACTGGACGTAGGGCCGGTAGAAGACTCCCCCCAACTCTGGCCATGGGCCCTGACCTTGCTCTCTGCCAGCCAGGCACCTGTGGGAAATGGGCCCCCCGCTGGGACTGCGCTGTCCTGCGGGATGAACTTGGGGTGTCGGGAGAGGGGAGGCACACGCCCCCGCTCTGACGCTGAACCTCGTTGCCGTGCTCTTCTGCCCTCGGCCTGCGGCAGGGACCTCTCTCGCCGCCTCACGCCAGTGTCCTAAACCAGAGCCTCCCTAATTTCCAGACCAGCCTGGGGCAGAGCTGCCGCCCCACAGAACGTGATCCCGACTGGAAAGGCTTGAAAATCCACCTGGAGCCTCACCTGTTCCTCACCGGACCCCCCACACCTGCTTTTCAGGGGCTCATTCCCCACCACGGGGCGTCGGGCACGAGTCTGTCCTACCTGGTCCCACAGCCGTCCACACGTTTCTCGGTAGTCGGTTATTTTGGAAGAACTCCCCATTTAGCTAAACAGTTGGGAGGCCCCTGAGGGGCGCTGCTCAGCTTTTCTCTCTGTGAGGTTGTCTTTGTCGTGCTCTCCTCACTTTGGCATTTTCGCGCCCGAGCGCTCCTGTTTACTTTGTCCAACGTTCACGCTTGAGTGTGTCGCTGACACATCTGGCCCCGGAGGCTGAACCCGCTCATCTCACGGGCACCGGGAACCCTCACACGTTTATGGTCACACGCGAAGAAGATGCACGGGCGGGTGGGAGCGACTCCGTCCCACGGACTTAATTTGAGAACACGTTAAAAAAAAAAAGCAAAACTCAGTTTTTAATTATGTTACGTAATTAGGGATCGGGGCCTCCTTCTGCCTGCGCCGTGTCGCTCCTCGGGCCGCGCGGGAAGCCGCAGTGAAGGAGCAGCGGATCAGTGATGCGCTCTGTGTCTTTTCGCTGCAGGAGGTGGAGAAGGACTGCAGAGACCCTCCGGATTACTGGACCATCCACGGATTATGGCAAGGCCCGGCGCAGTTCACGTCCCGCTCCCCGGCCCGAAAGCAGCTTGAGGCTGGTCTTCAGGGTTACACTAGTGGTTCTCATTAGGAGTTTAGTCAGTGGACCGAATCCTTACTGAAAATATCTCTGCTGTTTGTACAGTAACCCTGATCTTGTGGTTGTTTAGTTCGTTTTTGGTAGAACAGGGACAACCTGGCTTACATACGCTTGTAGGGACTCTGGGTCCAGGCTGGGATCCCTGAGCCTCTCATTGTGTCCTTCTTTGGGGGCAATAAGTAGATGCTTAGAAATAAGTGAGCGTGTGTGCACTGTGGACACATGTTGCATGTGTGTACACGGAGCGCAGGTGCGCTGTGCATATGTGTTGCATGTGCGTACACGGTACACAGTGCGCTGTGCACACGTGTTGTGTGTGCGTACACGGTGTGCATGTACGCTGTGTACACGTGTTGCATGTATGTACACAGTGCACGTGTCACATTTACCGGATTCATCTTGGGTTTCGCATGCATTTTGTGCACTTTATTCTTTCCCTCTTCATGCGTGTATTTGTCGTGTTTAACTGTGCCCGTGAGTCAGCCTGTCCCCGGGACGCCTCTTGTCCTGCTGCTCCCGCGGGAGGAGGGGCCGTTCTGGTCTTTGCCGGCACATGCTTGTTCCTCAAGATTGGGGGTCTGTGGGCAGCAGATGAAGCGGGGGCCGGGGCAGTGATCCGACCCTGCGGTCTCCGGGAGCTAGGCTTCCTCGGGTCGTGCTGACGTCCCTGCTGCTTCCCTTGTAGCTGGGAGGACAGTGCACAGTGCTGTCCCGTCCCGGCAGGGAGCTGCCCTGGTTTCAGGGTGCAGGGCCTGTGGACACGGAGACATGCCGGTGGTCTAGGAAGTAGAGTTGGTGGCCTGGAGAGCTCGGCTGCATCTGCAGACTGGGACTGACCCATGCAGAACTAGACGAGGGGAAGCAGGGAGGGGATCCGTGCTTGGGAATTTAAGAAGCCGTATTCGCTGAGCCTGAGTCTCTGTGTGAGCGCCGTCTGCATGCTGGGCCCTGAGCCCAGTCCTCCCTTGGAGAGAGGGAGATGCGCTGGTGCCTGTGGCCTGAGATTGGCCGAGGGAGAGTGCAGTCCCGTGCCCGACTCCCGAGCTCCCCCTACCGGCTGGTTTCATTTGCTTCCTGGGAAGAGCGCCTTGTTGGCCTGCCTCCGGGAGGGCTCTCTGGTCACCCTACCCGGGCTCTTCCTTAAGTGACTCCCGTGGCCATAGAGTGTCTCGGCCTTTGGTCCCTGCAGACGCTAATGGAAGTGTCTCCTGCCATTTGGAGCTCACCTCAACGAAGACTAACTTCTGTTGTTTTCCATTTGATTTCAAGGCCCGATAGAGCAGAAGAGTGTAACGGATCGTGGCCCTTCCACTTCGAAGAGATCAAGGTAACGCCCCCTTCCCTCGCCCCTACCAGTGCCGCCCTCGGTTAGCCCCTCGCACATGTGTCCTCCACGGCGCGCGCTCACGTGAGGATCTCGCTCGTGTTCACCGGGATTCAGCCCCTGCACTTCACTCGCATTTCTGGATCCGTGAAACACTCGTGCTCGTTCAGTGCGAACTGCCCTTTCTCCCCTGCCCGGGGCCCACGGCACCAGACGGGAACTGTGTGAAGTGACAGCAGACCCCGACGGGTCACCACCTGCCCACGTTAGTCCCGGGGGCCCCTGTGCCTCCCGGTCAGCACTTCTAGACCACTCTGGCTCGGACGACAGGCAGGGGTACTGATGGCGTTCTAGAACCTAGGTGAGGTTCGGTGAGCTGAGGTCCGGAGCCGATGACCAAGAAAGAATTCTTGAGACATCTTTGGTGCAAAATGGTGGTTTATTAAAGCCCGGGGACAGGACCCGTGGGCAGGAAGAGCTGCTGCCCCGGGTTGTGAGGGATGGCAGGTTCTGTACCCTGTGGTTGGGGGAAGGTGAGGGGAAGGGAGGTTTCAACGGAGTTTTCATATGCTAAAGAGGGCCTACAAGGTGCGGGAGGCCACTGTTGTCTTTTAGCAAGCCATTAACATCAAGATAGTTGGGAGATTCCTGTCTTGCAGGATTGTGATCTCTGCAAGTTAACTATTTGTTTCTCCTTTATGGCGGTCAGGGGTGCCTGAGGAATGTTACACACATTACCGAGGGGACCGGGTGGAGAGGGGGTGCAGGGTGCCAGCTTTTGCTTTGTCCGCAGCCAGCCAGCCTCCTGCTCCCTCATCATTCCCCCCTGAACAATTTTGACCCTTAAATCTTTAAGGTGGTTGAAGGTGGAAGGTCTCATCTTCTGTAACTTCTTCCTGCTGGATAGGGGCGTAGAGCTGTCCCTACCGACTCGGGTCAACATTGATCAGTTGAGGAATGTGTAGGGGAGTTTGGAGAGGCAGAGGCAGCTGAATCCAGCTCTGACAGTGAAGAAGTGTCTCTGTGCGTGGTCAGGATCATCTGTCGTGGTGAAGTCGTTGCAGCAATGGAGTCTCGGCACCAAGGAGAGAAACACTGAACAAAGCAACATAATAAGATTAATAAGGGGTAAGAATGAGAAGCCCGAAAAGGAGATTTTTAATTGTTGGCCATAGTCCTCCTCCAAACCAGGAACTTAACCTTCACTGAGAGAGAGAAGGATCTTGTAGAGCCTTAATCTGGGTATTCATATCTTTTATTAGTCCTGTGACATTTTTGTGATAGTCTGGGATGTACACGCAACATTCTGCTTTGATAATTGTGCATGTGCCACCCTGTGCTGCTGTCAGGACATCTAAGGCCATCCTATTTTCTGGACTGCCTTGCATATCTCTGAGACTTCGGTATTAAGTAGGGAGATGCTATTTAGTGAATCACTGAGTGCCTTTGTAGTATATTTATTAAGGGCTTCTACATGCCACATGATATCCTCTAGTCCCACAAATGGAACAAAAATGGATGCTAAGTGATCATACCATTTAAAAACAGATCGTGTCCATCTTTGTTTTAAATTGGGGAGATTAGCTGGAGTGGTGATGGTTTTAGTAATGCGCCCATGAATCCAGGCAAATCCTAAAGTACAGTGACCTATATACACCCTGGAGGAAGGCAGGGCCACAGGTTAGTCCACATATCCAGTGGGTTCTGTTTGGAGCTGACCATCTAATGCCAGGTCGCCTTACCCAATCAGTAGCAAACCAGTCAGTAGCCTGGAGTACTATTATTTGGGAACACATTTCTAATGATAGCCGTCCCAGATGTCGTGTGTTATTTGCCCAAATATCATACACATGATTCTTTGTTCCCAGCAGAAAACTGCCTTTTGACTGAGCCATCCAATCGTGGGTGTGAGCCACAAATATGTATCCCAGATTTGATATATACCATCCTCAGTATAGTGATAAGGAGGATTTTGTAACTTAGGCCCATATTTGATTGGGGAGTTATGGCTTGACAGCAATCCCCTTTCCTTCCAAATAGCTCCATGGGCATGTAGTACCAGGAAGGCATATTTGGAGTCAGTGTTAATGTTTATTTTTAGGCTTTGGCAATTGCAAAGTGCTAGTGAGCACTATGGCATATCTAGCTTTTCTTATTCTTTTTATGAAAACTACTGTCATCAGTAAACCAACTGTTGTTTTTATTTTTAACTGGGGCATCTTAAATCTGGCCAACTAGAGTAAGCAAGATCAATAACCTCTGAACAGTTTTGCTCTATAGAGAAAGAAGTACAGTGGTCAGGTTCAGGCATACAGGTAACTAGATTTAAAGTTTGACAACTTTTAGGTATTATTTCTGGCATATCTGTAAGTATAGCCCAGTATTTAATAAGTCGGCCTCCATCATCCATTGGTGGCCTTTGGCATCTAAGACAAATCTGGAACTGATGTGACGTCATTACAGTCAGGGTCTGTCCCATAGTGAGCTCTGAGGCTCTTAGGAGGGCTGTTCTCTGCTTAGCTAAAGCATCTGTTTGTAATTTCACCTCAACAGAGGTGGCTTCTAGGATACATATGACTAAGGGATGAAACCATTAAGAAGCGCTTTGAGTGCTCCAGCCTTGACAATATCCTGATTACAGAGGATCACTGACAAGTGGGAGAAAACTTGTCAAGAGGTAAGGGGAGTCCCCATGCATCATCTGATCCACTCATAAAGAAAGTGGGTCCTCCAGTATCTCCACAAGCCCACAGTTAATCCTATGGAGTGCGGGATGCTGGCTTTTAGGTAATTTCATTATCCCAGCCACATACAAGGTTATAGTTAAGTTATACAATTGTATGGGAATCAATCCCATTTTCCAGTTGTTTAACCATGTGCCATGAGGTTCTGCTAATACCCCACGAAATAATAAGATCGACTAAAGAAGCTATTGTGCAACTTCTCTGAAGTTTCCCTCAAGTTGTCTAGCTTAGATAAACAAACGGTTAAAGACAATCAAATCTAGAATTTAACATCCATAAAGGTGTGTTACTAAAACATAGTTTTTCCCTTTAAAATAACCCTCATTTCCAGAGATAGCCAAATCAGGACTAATTCACTTGAGAAACAAGTCCAGTTTTAACAAACTTGGCCTACTATTTACATAAGCTCAGCAAGAACAGTGAGTGTGATCATATAGATCTTTTAGAATCTGCTTTGCTGGAACTTCTTATAGGGAATCTCTAGGTTGAACTTTTAGTAGCCTCTCTGGGCCAGAAGCCAAGCCACGTACTTGCCATCAGGCATGCCTGCAATACCTGTCGATTTGGGTGAATTCTTTTTCCTGAAGTTCCCAAAGTATCCTGCCCGGAAGTGACTTTCTTTACTCATCCGGTGAGGCTCCTGGGAGCTGTGTAAGCAAGGTATCAGGCCAACAGTTCCAAGGGGCTTTATGACTCCAGGTTTCATAAAGTCAACCTTAGTTCCTTAAAGCTGTCTGGTCATATCTGAGTCTTTTCAAATATGACATCCCAGTCAAAGTCTTGGTAAAATAACCAGTTTCCACTGGCATCCTGTTACAAGGAGAACAGATTCTTATTGAACTTATGCAAATGACTGATTGCCATGGAAGAAAGAATGCTTACTGAGACCTTTTGATTTTCAGAGGGTTCAGATATAGAGAAAAGTTGAATGCCTTGATTTGTTTACAAATCAATACTTTTACATCCCTGTTAGTTACAGATAACTTAAGAAAAAGTATCCCTAGTCTGGAAGAGCAAACATTAGAGAACCAGCAATGTTTTAAAATAAGACAAAACAATAGTGTTTTAGTTCATTTAGTCCCATGTTACTGAATCTGGTGAATGCAGCTTTAGTTAGTTTTGGAAATTCTTACCCATTTCAGTTTTAGGATCTTCAATTATATCAAATATCTGTATTTGTCCTGAAAGTCCTTTATATGAATCTCCTTGAAGATAAAACTCATTTTACAAGAGAATTAAAACAATTATAAATGACAAAAACTCAGAATAGATACAGTTAGAGCTGATGAGATGAGAGTTTACAATTTAGCTGGCAAGGAAATCAGGTTATTTCTGTGACACATAACATTTCCATAATTACAATATCAAGCGATGATCTCTCAAAACATTAAAACTTTAGGAAATACATAGAATCTCTAGAATAGTTCTAGCGTTTTCCCAAATGTGACCCAAGTTTTATCATTGGTTCATCAGTACTTCATGAGTAACTTAGCATACCAAGGAAAAGCCCGAGTTAAAGAGATTTACAACTTAAATCTTGTCAATATTTGTTAAAATCTTAATAAAGTTTTAAAGCACATGCCTACATATAATTAGGGATGGTAAACACCTGATAAAACAAAACATAGAAACTGGGTTTTCTGGGCAGGCAAAGAGAAAACCATTTACATTTTCGTAACAGCAGATCAATTAATCTAAGAAAACTTTGTCCTTTTGAACAGAGACAATTTCAGTCTTATACCAATGTACCTTTAAAACCCATTCATTTCAATCTTAGTCCGTCTTGACCGGACTTTCCTTTTCTGAAGATTTCCCTTCACAAACCTTCTACAACTTTCCTATGCATTCAGGTTTTGTCCCAAGCCATTTCCTTCCAAACAACCATCTCATTTAGGACAAAATTACCTTCTCTTACCCTCAACAAAATGTATTCCCATTCCTTAAATCTTTCTTACATATCATCTTTCCTACATACAGAGTTGTTTCCCTTATTTCCATCAGTCTTAGTTACACTAAGCAGAATTTGATAGTCTTAGAAACCCTTAATCTCTAGTGAAGACTAAGTATTAATGAATTGTGAACTGTTACAACAGAATTCTCTAGATGGCAAATTTATAAATCAGTTAAGCGCAAAACATGTTTACCAATAGATTTAAATATTCTTAGTTTCTTTGCAGTAAGAAGTCAAAAGCACAAACCTACATCCAGTAATTAATGACTTAGCATTTTATCCTGTTTGGTTAAGACCTAGATGTCCATAATTTAATTCCATTTGTCATCCAAGCAAAATTTTAAACTTTCAGGTTAGGAAAGACTTTGAAAGCTATCTCAGCAATTACCCATTAAAATTTTGAGACAGACAATTAACCATCAGTTTAGTCATCTCTTTGCTAACAGATTTTAACAAATAACATGAGCTTATTTGACCTTCAGTAAACTTTGATAGAATAAAAGCTTCACATTTACTGCTGTAACTTCAAAGACATGTCTACCTTATTTAAACCAGCAAACTTAACTTAGTTCAAATACTGATTTACGTTCCACCTGGGCCCACTCCACTTTGAATGTTTACCTGAGACATGGGTGGGAGGATCTGGAGTGGGGGGTGTTAGGTCCAGGGGTGCTCTTCTTGCTCCTTGACAGTGAGGAGAGAAGGAGTCGCGGTGCATGGTCTAGAGGCCAGTCATGCAGGCCGCACGCATGTCAGTGCAGAAACAGGAGAAGGGGCGACAGAGGAAACAAGGTGCCGCCAGGAGGCAGAGAAAGGATTCCTGGTTCTAGAGCTCATCAGCCCCCGTGGAGGAGCGACGCCATGCTTTCCCACCAGCGAGGGGGAGGGGCTAAGCAGTCCACGTCGGGCCAGAGAAGACAGGAAACTTCCCCGAAACAAAGGGAGTTTCGGCAGCTGCGTGGGGATATGCCTTACGGTCTCTGTCTCGAGTTAGACCAGCCCCGGTTGGCTCCAGTTATAGCCCTTAACACGGGAAGTGAGTGAGGGAGAAGCCCCCGTGTCTATTAGGAGAAACAGAGAGAGAGAAAGTCAGAATCCCCTTTGCTAGGGATGGCCCAGCAACCTGGGTTTACTAGAAGGCGGCTTATTATCATCCAATATGTCAAGTTTCCTAGCTGACTCGTTTGGGCAAACACATTCTGGAAAAGCCCCTTAGTCTGGGGTCCTGGTGTAGAGCAATGAAGGCCTAGGTATGAGCAATGAAGGTATCCTAGGTCCATTTGCCCTGTTTTCTGCAGCTGAGATCTAACTAATAGATCCCACTGAGGCCATGCAGTGTTACAGGAGCTCAGTCCTTTTCTAAGTTTTGCAATCCAAATTACTTCCAGTGGGTTAAAAGGCACCCCAAGGTAGAGTCCTTGGCAACTGAAGAAGCCTACTGAGGCCATGCTCTCAGAAACGGAAAGAAGGTCCATTACCAAATCCCCCAACTCCTGGGTGGCGTCCCACACAGGATATGTCAGAGGTTCCCATGTGTCAAAAGCGACCGGAGGTGTCCCTCAACAAAAATCGCTATTGGTCACCATCCTGCCTTCCCCGGGAAGGCATTCCTGCCATAAAAGGACCTGGAGGGGTGTCGCGTCCCTCCTCTTCCCCATCACATCCTAGGCTGCTGATGGGTGCCTGGTGAATGGACCAAAACACTGTGCCATGCCATGCCATTGTCTGTCCTGAAGACTGCATACTGTTTTGCCATTTTAACCCATGGAAATACTAGAAAAGTTTGGCAAGGGGAAATTACCCAATTTCATAGCTTTAAGTAGTCTGTAGAAGACACTGACAAGAAACAGTAAAGACTGAAATCCATCATGGTCTATGCGACATTCCAACACATGTGGTCCATGCAGCCAACTTCCCTAGGAAATGGTCCCCGGTTGCGTTTTAATTCAATCGGGTACTGGTTTCAGCCGGCTCCCAGTGGAGGTCCCACAGCCAGAAGTGGCTAGACCAGGGATGTGGAGGGGATCACATTAGATCAATCAGGAGGAAACCTCACACGGGAGTCTTAAGATTGGCAGCCGTCCTGGTGACTTAGGTGGCTGTCCTGTGCCCAAGAGAGACAACTTTATATAAGAACAGGAATACAGAGAGGCCATCAAGTTTTGGGGTCTTATTGCCATTCCGGCCAGGGTACTAACTTACATCCAAAAGGCAGACGCTCTCCTCCCCGTAGAGCAGCCATGGGCTAGAGGATTAGAGCCTGAGCAACTGATGTACAAGTGTTCCAATAAGACCATACTCCTTGAAAAGCCCTGAAATGAGAGTAAAGGAAAAGGAGAGAAAGTACTCACCAATTTTGCACCAAAGCTCAGAGTCCAAATGTAAAGACTCACAGCCCCACGTTGGGCGCCATATGATGAAGTTCTAGAACTTCATCAGTACCACACCTGGCCTTTCTGGCTGTGGGCAGGGGGGCTTCCAGGGAGGGCCTCTGGGCAGAAGGAATGGGCCTTTCCAGAACAGAGGCCTGTGTGATGGAGTAGCCCAGGGAGCGGCTTTGATGAGCGCTGCTGGCCGACGTGCTCTTGAGACACCGCGCTGTGCACGTGACCAGTCACCTGTCCAGTGACGAGAACCTGGATTCATGGGGCAGGGCCTGCTGGGGCACTGGGCCTCCCCGAAAACAGGAGGTAGCGTCAGGATTTGCTAGAATGGGGGTCCTTGCCATGAATAGACGGCCCCCAGAGGGGCATGGCAGGACATTCCAGACCCTTCACGTGTTCTCGTCCACACTATACTCTCTCTCTTTCCTTCCTGTGAGGACCTTTGCTGGCATGAGCCTGGAGGCCTGAGTCTGAGGACCGTTGTAAGAATTATTAGCGCACCCCAAAGCCTGGCAGCATCTCGTTCCTCAGACACACGCGTCCCCCTTCCCGGACTCACTGCAGCTTGCTTCATGTCATGGGGATGTTCCTGGTCAGAGTCTTGTGACCTGACGGTGGAACTGCAGATTCTTTGACATTGTACTGAGGGCCTCTGGCATTCCCGCTGGGGAGGGAAGGCGCCTCGGCTGCAGTGCTCACATGAGAGCTGCTGTGGGGGACTGGCCGGGCGGAAGAGCCAAATGGGCAGAGGCCGTGGGAGTGGGAGGCCGGAGGGGCCACGGAAGTCGCGTGCACGGGGCTCCGTGCCTCGCTGGGACAGAAGCTCCAGTGGGGCTCTGGCTAGGGGTTTGGCTGGGGGTGTCGTCCTTCCCGAAGGGGCTGCGCTTTGGCACATGTGCAGGTGACAGTCGGCTTTGGACGTGTTGAGTTTGACACGCCCTGGAAACGTCCAGGTGGGCCCCGTGGGTCTGGGCCAGAGGCGAACTTCGGACCCGTGCACAGACGGACGGTGCACAGAGGTGTGAGCGTGCACAGGGTGGAGAATCAGGAACAGCCCCGAACAGAGACGGGGTGGGGGGGCACGTGTGATGAAGCAGCCAGAGGAGGGAGGGGAGGAGGGGAGCCGGGAGAAGGGGATTCCCGAGGGTGCGCTAATAGGGTTCCTAAAAGCAAGGCTGAAGATGCCCTTTCAGTGGAGCGGCCTGCCGGGCACAGGGGGGGGGGGGGGGGGGGGGGTGGCCACAAGCCGCTCCTTGTTCAGACACTGCTGGTTTACTCGTTCTGTCCCAGGAAGCCCAGTTTAGTGTTGGTCCCCAGGAAAGTGGCCTGCTCCCCGCTCCTGTGGGGCTGGTGGGAGCTGAAGCCCAAGTGTGGGCAGTGCAAGGCCGGGAACATGCAGACAAGGAGGCAGACCGCTTCCTGGGAAGTTGCCATGCGGGCGTGAGGACAAGACTTACTGGCAGGGGACACGAGAGGCATCCCGTTGTCTGGTTACTGGCGCGTAGTGACGGGTGGTGGCAAATACGGGAAAGCGAGGTCACCGGAGTCTGTCTAGACAATGTTTTAAGTGAACGTTGTTTCCGGCCTAGTGAGTTTGGAGAAGTTGAGTAGTAAACCCGGGCGCCGTGCGGCTCAGGGCAACTATCTGTACGGTTTAGGGGGCCCGTCTCCCCGCCCAGATGAGCTCCCCTCGGGGGAAAGGAGAGCCTGAATTTTGTGGTGCATGTTTTAATCCGTGGATGCTACTCCTTAGAGCAGAAACCTAAAGCCGAAAAATTGAGTGGCACGTCCCATATATGTCCCCCAGCACACCGCGTCCCCTGCGGTTGACACGCTTGTCACAGGGTTGTACTTCATTGCTAGCAGGCACTGCAGTTCCCGTAGGCTTGCTCTGTGTCACGGAGGGTTATGGGTTTTGACAGATGACATGTCCCTCACTAGACTATGGAGGCATCTCACTGCCCTAAAATCCTTCCTCCTCTGCTTGTCCCCGTCCCCACCCTGGCCCCTGACTGAGCCTTCTCAGTCTCCGTACTTTAGTCTTGTCCAGAAGGGCCACATCGGGACTCACACGGCCTTTTCAGGTTGGCCTCACTGATGTGTGCGGAAGGCTCTCCTGTGTCCCGTCACGGCTTGATGGCCGCCTTCTCATTAGAGCTACATCCCCTCGTCGGGCTGGACCGCCGCGTGCTTACCCGCTCCCCTCTGAGTGTGCCTGCTTTCCAGCGCAGCCTCGCCATGAGTCAAATCGCACCTTTCTCTGTGGTGTCGCTTCATGCAGAGTAGGGACAGAATCGTTTTCCTCCCCTGAGTGTTACTGATCGGCTGAGGTCACTTCTTTTAATGTAATGGTGAATCAGACTGGCCTTCTAGGTGGCGAGGCCTTAGGTCGTACTTGGATTTTTTTTCGCGCACAGGACCTCCTGCCTGAAATGAAGATGTACTGGCCCGATGTGATCCATCCGCTAAACCACAGTCATTTCTGGTGAGTGCAGGGGCGCCGCAGGCCTGCGGGGGGGACGGGGGCTGGGGCACGGGGACGGACCACGGGGCCGCTCTTCTGAGGCACGGAGGGGTGAACCACTTTTTACCTGGGAGGCCGTTTTCGGGGCCTTTCTCCAGTAAATGAAAAATGTGGGCGAGGGGCGCCCGGGTGACTCAGTTAAGCTTCTGACTCTGAACGTCAGCTCGGGTCTCGACCTCAGGGTTGTGAGTTCAAGCCCTGCGTTGACTCTGCACGGGGCATGGAGCCTGTTTGGAAAAAACCCTGCGGGCACGTGGAATTTACAGACTGGCTCTCAGTCCATGACTTCATTCATCACTTTGCTTTACGCTCTCCTCTTCTGAGGTTTCACTGAGACAAACACTCGGGTATCGATCGACGGGGCGCTCGCCGCAGCACAGGCAGGACAGGATATTTCTTAAAGACTGTGCTGCTGCCACGAGACCCACCAAGGAAGAAAAAGAGGTCGAGGTCTCGTGCTACGACTTAGCGAGGACAGGGTCGAGTCCCACCTGCGGCTCGGTCCACAGTCTGTTCCTGAAACATCCTGAAGTGTAGCAGGAGCTGAGCCAAGGAAGAAAACACTGTGTTTAACTCAAGATAGCTCTTTAGGTCAGTGCTTGGGAAGAAGGTTAAATTAATATTCCTTTCATTTACGTTATGGTAGCTGGAAATAATCACTGTCTTGGCCGCACTCCAATGTGGCGGTTTACATTCAGGTCGCAAGTCCTTAGATTTTCCAAAATGGTTAATTAAAAGAAGAAGGAGAGTTGGGTGAGACCCAGTTTGGTGAGCGGCCTCACCGAGGGCGGTGTCCTGGGCCTCGACGTCCCAGAGGAGCCTCCACCGCTCATCCCGGAGGGCGGCCCCTGGGTCTGCTCGTGTGCCCTCCGGCAGGCGAAGGGACACCACGATGGGCATCTCTGTCTGGTCACTGACCATTTTGTCTTAAATGCAAACTTTCCTGTTCCAAATGAGGTGGGATTCAGTGTTGGACGTACACTAACGATGCCCTAATGGATTCTGATCCTTAAGCTTCATCCAAACTGATATTTATCGAGTATTTCTTGTGTGTGGGGAGCCCCCAGGCTGGTGTGCAAGTGCTGTGCACAAAGCTCATTGCGCCGCGAGCTCCCCATGTGGCAGGTTCTCGAACGGTGCCAGCTCCACGGAAACTAGGGCGTCTGCACTGCGGGTTCCATCTTCATCTCGTCGGAAAGAAATCCTTTTCCTGCTCTGCAGAAATAATTCACTCTGGAGGCTGTGGTAGATGAAGAAAGGTTCCCAAGCCACTTTCTTAGGCTGAAGCGACTTGTCACTTCGCATGGGCCTGTGCATGAGCCTTATGGATGTGCTGGTGTCTGCTCAGATCACAGGCAGCGCAGGACCCCCTCACAAATGCCTCTTCCTCTCTCCTGCGCTCGCGATGGTGAACATCGGATGGGACAGCGGCCTACGATTCCGAGGGCGGCGCGCCCCACGTCTGCGGGTTGTGGGGGTGGCTCTGCGGTGTGGCCGGACGGGGGCCGGCGTGGGGTCCAGAGTGCCATTTGGGGTCAGACTCTGGGACTTGCTGGCTGGGTGGCCTCGCTAGCCCCCGCCGCCTGTTTCCCCATTTCTGAGCCAGCAGTATGTTTGCCTTGCAGAAGAACGTGAAACTTCACGATAACCTGTGATGAAACGTGGGGAGTTGTTATCTATGATCTTCTCGAATTCGTGTTGCTGTTCGTGTGTTGTCCTGTTAGAGTTCTGTCGGGGGCGGATGAGGACACAGTGGAGACGGGGAGTGGGCCTGCGGCATCTCTCAGGAGGTTGTGTGGCTGCCACCCTTCGCTCACTGCTGAGGAAGGACAGGTCAGCATCCCCGTGAAGCCAGAGCCCCCGCGGACGCCCGTGCCCGTGGCGGGGTGCGTCGTGGCATCTGCTCTTCCTCAGCCGTGGCTGTGCTGTGTCGCTGAACTGAGTCGTCCCTGCTGGCGGGGGAGGCTGCAGGGACACGGCGCGCTCTCTGGAGACCGGACTGTGTCCCCTGGGGCCGCGTCCCCACGCACAGGGACTCCCGCGTCATGACCTATGCACACAGGGAGTCTTGTCTTCTTTCTTTGTAGCAGAAACCACGTGCGCGTGACTGCCCCATCCTGGCACGAGCTCTTCCTCGTGTATTTGTTTCATGACTTTTAACCAGAGATTTTTTGTTAAAATACTCTCACAGGAAGCACGAGTGGGAGAAACACGGCACCTGTGCCGCTCAGCTCGATGCCCTCAACTCGCAGAAGAAATACTTCGGGGGAAGCTTGGGTCTTTACGAGAAGCTGGAGCTTAACAGGTAGGGACCCCCGGGGGCCTGGTGCTCGCGGGCCGTGGAGCCGTCCTGAGGAATCCTAGCGCCTCCCACCCAGCCCTCCAGGTCAGTCTGGGCCATGGTCATGTACAGCAGCCTCGGAGACGCGGGTCCCCGTCTGGGCTCGGACGTCATCGGACAGCGAGGTGGCCCGAGGAAGCAAGACTGACCAGGGCACGCGTGTTTCAGCCGGGATTTTGGACGGGAGTGTGTTGCATTAACGTGGCAGGTTCTGTACAGACCGCCCATCTCTAAGTGTTTGCATCTCTGCTCTCGGGCTTCTGGAACGAGCAGGAGGAGGTGGTGGACAGGGGTCCTCGGAGCCTAGAAACTACCCAGAGCTCGTAAACACCCCGTCCAGATGGCCCTGCGGAGGGCCAGGTCCCCTACCCCCACCCAGGCCGTGACCGAGAACGGGGGCGAGGCTGGCCGTCCGCCGTCTGAGCGTTCCTGGTGGCCAGTGTGGGAGGGATTCCTGCTCTCCCTCATCTGGGCCGTCCCACGATAAACCTGCGACGGCGTTTTAGAGACCAGGACAGGCGGTTAGTGTGCTTTCGTCAGGGGGGCCCGGATCCCATCAGGAGCCTCTGCTGTTCACCTGCGTGAAAGCTGCTGCGTCACGTCTGCTTAGAAAGTGCGGGAGCCCCCATCAGTTCTCTGCGTGGGTCCTCTACGGCCCGCACACAGAGGCGCAGCCAGTCCCCCGTTTCACTGGGATCGGGGGTGGGGTCCAGTGTTGCACAGGAGGGGCGAGTGCCTGTGGGGAGAACAAGATGCCCATTGTGCACCGTGCACAGTCTTTGAGTCCGTCTGCTGAACCGGAAGATGACGGAGGGGTCCCTCGAGGGTCGGGGAGGTACACGCCAGCTGTGCCGCCCCGCTCCTGTGGGCCAGGCTTCTCTGCAGGCTCCTCTCACAGCAAGAGCAAGACCTTGGGGAGCGTTTCCTCACCCCCGAAGTGTAGGGGATGCCGAGCGCAGACATCCTTGGGGGAGTGCACCGGCAGAGTGTCCGCGGTGTGGATGGGCAGAGCGCAGTCGGGTCGGAGCCGCTGCAGGGAGGAGGCTGCCCCCAGGCGTTCCTGATGCACCAGCGGCGGCGTGAGGTCCGGCTCGCTCCCCAGGCCCTGTTCTGCTCAGTCGGGCAGGAAGAGGGCAGTGAATGGGGACTGCTGGAAGGTTCTATCTAAAACATCTAAATCGTCCCTCCCTTCACCCAACGGCTATTTATTAAGTCCCCGGCTTACCCTTGTTGAGTGTCTGTAGCTCTCCGCGCGTGCGGGAGTCCTGGTGCCGGGCTTGCTGCAGCTGCGGTCGCTGGGGACGCCTGGTTCCTCCTGCAGAGACGACGCCCTGCGGGGGGCTTAGTGTCCGTGGGGAGAGAGTTGTAGGGAAATGGCATTCTCTCCCCGGTCCCCCAAGGAAAATCTAAAATCTTGGTACTCAGAAAATTATGAAGTCAAAACATAAAATCCCTTGTATTTTTCTCTATATTATAAACCATCACTGCGGATTATCTTTTTCTCAGAGGGAAGCCTGTCATATTAGCATAAACTAACAGTGTTTTATTCACTTTATAATATGAAGGTTGCAAACCTGAAAAAAGGCGAGATACTGTGAATAGAAGATCTTTGATAACCTACAGACGCAGGCCAGGGAATGAATGTCAAACTAAAGGCAACACCGTAGAAAACATTATAGACTAACCTGGGCTGAATGCCAGGCTTCCCCAAATCTCTCTCTCTCTGCCTCACTTCCTTGGTGACCTGACTCGGGCTTTTTAGCAACACCGCCCAGTAGAAATACAATGCAGACCCCACACGTAACTTAAAATTTCCTAGTACCTCATTAAAAAGAGCAAAAAGAAAGCAGCAAGATTGATTTTATATTATTTATCCCAGCATAGCCAAAATATTGGAACTTGAAATAAATATTTTAAAATTTGCAAAGTTTTGCAATTCTGGAGCCTTTGAAATCTGGTGTTTACGCCGCACAGACAGTGTGAGAGCAGGCCGTGGGCAAGTTTTGTTTCTTTAGGCTGCAAGGACCCTTGCCCACCTTCTCCTGCCGGGGCCAGGAGCGTACAGCTGAGATGCAGACACTGGGTGGTGCGCCGTCTTTACAGACACTGGTTTGTAAACACAATGTATACTGTTGCCAGAAATCACAGCAGGAGGAGGCATGCCCCGGGCAGTCTGGTTTTCCTCGGACAGACCCATCTGACGATGCCCATGTCCAGAGACGCAGCCCGGGTCTCACGTCTACTCCGGGGCTCATGGCCTGGATAATCTAGGGAGGCATGACGGGGACTCGAGTGTTGTTTTGAGATCATTAATCTGAGAATTGTTTATATCCCACTCCATCATTTAACAGGTAAATTAGTCATATGGTATTTTGTGGGGATGGCTGGTCAAAACCATATGCTTTAGGAAATGATTCAAGTCTGTGGGTGTTGAATGTATTTGAGGATTTGACCAAGTGTGGTTTTCTAGGATAAGCCTGGAATCCAGAATCAGTTGCTAACTGTCTCTTGAAACAGGCTTGGCAAAGAGGTGGTCATGTGTGTGCCGTAACCACAGTGGGTGTGGGCCGTCTGGCCACTGTTGAGAGGGTCCGGGTGCTGGAGAGAGAAGGAGGGTCAGCAGCATGTGAGCCATGGGGAGCGGTGGTCGGCGAAGCCCGAGTACCATTTACTTGCTGTCCTTGTGCCCAGATGTATTGCCCAAAGCAATAGAAAATAAGTGCTTTCTTTTAAGAGTGTCTTCATTTTTATTAGGAAATAGGATGTTTAAGAAGAACAAGAAAGGAAAATGTACGGTATTACACAGCTAATTTTTTTTTTTAATTTAAATTTTAGCATACTCCAAAAATTGGGAATAAAGCCATCTATCAATTACTACCAGGTAAGTCTTGCTTTCAGCTCCGTAACCGGATGTGTGTCTGCTACCTGAGGGTGCCTCGTGTCTCCACGGTAGACTGTCTGCAGCCCAGTCCACGCCAGGGTTTTAAAGGCCTCGAACAAGCCCCCTCCTGTTAGACTCTTACGGTTCCAGAGCGATTTTATTTAAGTCTTGCTTCCCGGTGCACACTGAGTGCGATCTGAAAGCTATATAAACCTGTGATTTTGAGCCTAGACTCACGGTCCCTCGGTGAGGCGCGTGCTCCCAGCTCGCACAGGGCTGGGGAGTAGGTGGTTCAAAAAGTGTAAGGTTTTATAGGCGAGATAAACACAACACCAGGTGAAGTGGGTGCAAGGCAAGATTTATTAAAGGCGTCTCCGGGGAAGTTTCAGGGCTCAGGAGACGGGGAGCCAGGAGAGTCGCACCGGGAGGAGGTGGGCCCCCTCGGGCGAGGTTCCGAGACTCTGGAAGGCAGAGTGGGGGAAGTCGCGCTGGGAGGGAGTTGGCGGGGTCTTTTATCTGTCTCCTGCATAGGTATCGGGTTACCTGTGGAGACGTGACATGGGCATACATCCTTTTGGTGGGAGAGTCAAGGGTTAAGGGAGGGGGTAGACTGGAAGAAGGTGACCCCGCGGCGGCGAGACCCCCCGTGGCGGTCATTTCCATTGCTCTTCCTGCACTCCGGGAGCCCCCGGAGCCTCCGGTCATTTCTATTGTTCCTCTTGCACTCCCGGAACCCGCCGACCCAACAAAAAGCACATTCCGTTTTATGATATTTTGTTCGATGAAGAGGCATAAGATTTGTTTTTGTTTTCGTGATAAAACTAGAAATTTAAACAGCCCAGATCTTACTGTCTGGTAAGCATATACAAAAGATAATCGTTTTCTACCCAGAAGAGCCTGTTCTTGTAAATGGAGTCTTCCTGGCTCATGGCCAGGCTGATTCCTTTACCACTGCTCATGGTCACCCTCCATGGGCAGGTGTCCCCCCAGAAAGACACTGGGGGACCCTCAGAGCCTGGGGTCTGTCCTCTGGTCCTTTACCCAGTAAGCTGACTGACTCCTGGGCTAGAGAACATGATGCATTCTCTACTTAGGCTGATTTAATCTCCTGGGATTAAAAAAAGATTTGAAGTTACTGATTTTAGCGATCCCCGGTTCCAGTCCCCTGCTACACACTGCGCTGTCACCTGGGTCCCCTGAGCAGAAGTCAGTTGGCATCCCCACTGCACTCTCTGGCGTCGGTGCTCTGCTGTGTGGCCGGGTCCCACTTGAGCTGGATCTTGATCGGATCTGGATCTTCCATTTAATTTCCTCCCTGCACCGAGAGTGGGGCTGGGAGGGATCGGTGACCCTGGGGAGAACCTGTCCGCTGCCCCAGGAAAGAGAGGGCTTGCAGGGCCTCCTTGTCCTCGGCGTTCAAGTTCAAGCAGGTAGGGGGACTGTGTTTACATTTTTGTCCAGAACGTGTCAGTCAGACCACTGATTTCAATGACCCAGGACAGCAAGTGTCCTGAGCTCCCCATGTGTGCTGCAGGCGCCCTGTTAGGTTCAGAAGCAGCAAGAGGTGAGCTCAGATGGGAGTCCTGGCCTCTGAAAGTGGGTCCGACTTACTGCATGCAGCAGACTCTGGGTGTGGACAGAAGCACGGGGTGGCCGGGAGAACGGAGACTGTAGAGCACGTGTAGGGGCCACTATGGTCTGAGGGTGGAGCCCAGGTGGGCGACAGCCTCTCCCTGGGGTCTTGTCTGTGAGCCTGGAGTGCCCAGAGGATGGTGCCCTGTGGTCAGCCGTGCGGGTTGTGAGTGTGGAAGCTGAGTGTGCTGGCTGCCTGGGCGGAGCCCTTACACCGCCTCTGTGCAAGTAATTCTAATGCATTTGATTCCGTTTCAGATTTCAGATATTAAAGACGCCCTTGCCAGCATGTACGGGGTCGTACCAAAAGTCCAGTGTCTTCCGCCAAAACAGGTCAGATGTGCTCTATTTCGCTGCTCGTTCTGTCTTTATCAGGAAGACAGGTTTTCGACATCCATGTGGTCACCGTAGAGTTGCCAGGGGCAGAGGTGTGTGTGGGAGTGTGAGCGCACAGGCAAATCCTGCGTGTGCTTTAAAATCGCAGTTGGTTAAGCCCAGATTCAGAGGGGTACCTGCACCCCAATATTTACAGCAGCATTATCAACAATAGCCCCACTGCGGAAGCAGCCCAAGTCTCCATCAGTAGATGACTGGGTGAAGGAGATGCGGCCTCTGTTTCCGGTGGAATATTACGCAGCTGTCAAAAAGAATGAAATCTTGCCATTTGCGATGATGCGGATGGAGCTAGAGAGTAAAATGCTGATCAGTGTGTGAGGCCGAGAAGGACGGACCGTATGACTTCATTCATACATGGAATTTAAGAAACAGAACAGATGAGCAAAGGAAAAAGAAAGAAACTAACCAAGAAACAGACTCTTGACTCTAGAGAACACAGTGCTAGTGACAAGAGGGCTGGGGTGGGGGGTGGGGGAGCAGGCGATGGGGGTGAGGGAGGGCACCTGTGACGCACGGAAGTGATGAGTCACTGTCTCGTACACCTGACACCGACAGGACATTGTGCCAGCTGTACTGGAATTAAAAAAAAATTATGCACACGCACACAATTGTCCTTCAGTGCCATGCTCGAACAGGGTCTGTTTCTTGAGACTTCTCTCCAACGAGAAGGGGCAGTGGGGCAGGAGCCGGAGGCGGCTGTAGGAAGCAGGTCTGAGTTAGGGATTTCTTGGGCTTTGTGTCGTTCGTCTCAGTCGCCACACGTATTTATCTAGTGTGCGGATGGACTGTCATTTCTTTTGTCAGCTTTGATAAGACTTTAATTCTTTTTGAGCAGTGGGGTCCCCTGACCTACTTATTCTACAAAACTGCTTCTCCCGGTGATGCCATGATGCGTATGCCACAGGCACACAGGTGCACGTGTCTGAGGTTCGAGCGGTGTCCCTGTCACCCAGGGCCACCAGGCTGGCACAGGGGACGTCTGGGTGGTGACTGGGCTGTGAGCCCCGTGGCCCCCTGCAGGTCGCTGCTAGAGGTGGGGGGGGCTCGTTGCTGGCCCCTGGAATCCCCCCTTGTCTCTTCAGGTTCTGAGGCCTGATGACCACAGAGCAGGGCCCCCCGAGATCCGGATTCTCAGGCATCTCTCATTTTCTGGGTTTTAGGGGGAGGAGGTGCAGACGATCGGTCAGATTGAGCTCTGCTTCACCAAAGACCTGCGGCTGCGGAACTGCACGGAGCCGGGGGAGCTGGGGGAGTCCGGGAGGGCCTGGGGCCCGGGGCTGGAGGTCTGCGAGGACGGCCCGGCCTTCTACCCCCCGCCGCCGCAGAGCACTCGCTGACGCCCCCCGGCCACTGGGACGTTATTTCAAAAAGCTGAAGAGTCAAAACCGCTGCTTGTCAGAAAGCGGCCGCCAGGTGAACTGTTCTGTCCACAAGCGTCTCTACTGCACGGCCGTTCTGTGCTCCGTTTCCCCGCACGCCCATGAGCTGACTTCATGGCACCTGTAAGTTTGGGCCCAGCATGGGTGCGCTGAGAGGAAGGAAGTCTCCCACGCCCCGGTAAGGGCTTTGTGTTTGGAATAAAGGAAGTGAATTTTCTTTCTCCTTTATTGAGGTCTTTGGCGTCTTAGACACAGCAGGGGCCCTGGAGGTGGGCACACGGTGGGGACTCAGAACAGCTCTTGCCTGTCCCTCTAAGCGGCAGCCTTCTTGGTGTGGGGGTTGCGGGGACATGCCAGCCCATTGTCAGGCCAGGAGGAGGCCGGCAGCAGGTGGGCGTCCCACCTCCTAGCTCAGGACGTGCTTGCTCACCCATGTCCCCTCAGTGGCCTGGTGTGGGCAGGGGAGGTGCCCCAAGGGGCTGCAGGGGACAGGCCAGCCAGCACCCCACCCAGTCCGGTGTCGCTGAACATCAGCCTGGAGCCGGTTTGGGGTCCCCTCTGGGAGCAGGTAGCCCAGCTGCCACAATGTGGGGCCGCTGGTGAATGGGACTCAGAAGCACGGTAACACAGTTTGGCCCCGGGGGGCAGCACCCTGTCCCCCCAGAGATCACGCCTTCCTCTTTGTGCAAGAGCCGCTGGGCAGGCTCCCCACCCGCCGCACCGTGCCTTCGTCTGTGGAGTGAGGACCCCTGACGGGACACTGAAGCTCGGGAAACCCCCTTAACACGGCCTCTCCTTGCTCTCGGCCCTTCTAAAACGGAAGGTTCGAAACTTCTCCTTGCTTGGCCTTTGGCTCTGGGGGCTAAAGCTGGACCCGTCTGTCTGTCTTAATCAGGTTGATGCCATCCTAGTTCTTTTATTCATCGAACACTTGGAATTGAATTGACTCTGTGTACTTCAGAACACTGACTTACTTAATCCTAAGAACAATTTTCAAAAGAACCGTGTTTTTAACAGAGAACCTGTTGAATTGAGTGGCTGTGAAAGGTCATGCTGTGAGGGATACTGATGTTTCCTTTCTTGGTTTAGGGTTAGTGTCAGTGCACAAGGGGGGGGTGACTGATTCCAAGAGCAACAAGATTTTTTAAAAGATGCTGAGTTTCTCATCAGAGCAAGTCCCGATTTTATTTCCCTATTTCCCTGTGGGGTGAATCTGTGTGTTCCCCGCAACAACAACAACAACAACAACAACAAAAACCACTCTGCCTTACAGCCACAGAAATTTATTCCTTTATGGTTGTCGGTGCCGGACCTCTGCGACCAAGGTGTGGGCGGGGCCACGCTCGCTCCGGCTGCTCAGGCTCGCAGGGGGAACGCTGCTTTCTCTTCCCGCTCCTGGCTGTGCCCGGCAGGTGGAGGCTTCCTTTCAGCCCTGGCCTCTGCCCTCCTGTGACTTCTCCCCGTGTGTGCCTGTGTCAGCTCTCCCTCCCCCTTCTCTTAGAATGACATCAGTCATATTGGACCAGAGCCACCCCAACAACCTTATTTTAATTTGATTACATCTGCAAAGACCCCGTTTCCAAATAAGGTCATGTTTACCAGTCATGGGGATTAGAACCCACGACATGGACCACAGACAGACAAGACGGGTCTGGCTGCTGGTTTCCATATTCTGTACAGTAGGGCTTACGGTGATCCCGTTACCCCAGGGAGGAGCCCATTGGGAAATTATCCTCCTACAAGAACGGGGAACCTGGGAATTTTTGGAGAGGAGATCTCAGAAGGATCTCAATACACTTAAAACCCACACAGGGGAGATGGCTTCCTTGATTGGGGCTGAAGGGATTTTTTATGAAGATTGAGGTTATCCTTTGTAACATGTGCCTTTCTGGTAATGCACAAAGACTACCGAGAGAAAACACTTGGGTTCTCAGCAGGTACGACCAGGCTGGGACTGTGAATAGCTACAGCCAGCTGGGACTTGGAGGGAGCGCGCTGTTGGGGGCCGAGGTTGGGCTGCCCCAGATAGGTCGATTTGGCATGAAGATTATTTTGAGTTCTAAAGACAGCAAAGCTGAGATTCGGGAGAAGCTCTTTGCCTCCCGCTCAATGGCCAATAATAATAATAATAATAATAATAATAATAATAAAATAAAAATTGGTAGGGGCCCTGCTCCAGGAAGAGAGCTGTCTGTATGAACCAGGGGTGGGAGACGGGGAGGAGGAGCCCGGCCCCCTGTTGGATCAGAGTCTCCTGGGCCCAGTGGGTCTGTGTGGCCCCGCAAACATTGGTTTACCAAACCTGTACTCGCTGTCCTCTTCCTGTGACTTCCTTTTCTTTCCTGGAAGCCCTAGACCCTTGCCCTCTTCTCCCTAGTTCAGAATGACACGTAAACCTCATTTTGCTGGGCTCTGGACCCACGTCTGTGCGGGTTTCCCGTGCGTACACTGTTAAATTGGATTTTCTCCTGTTAATCCGTCTCCTGTCAACTTGATCTTAGATCAACTAGAAGGACCTTTGAAAGGGACAGAATTCTAGCTCCCGGACAGTTGACAGATGCATAAATGAGCTTCTCGGAGATAGAGGAGGGTACGAACAGCCAAACCCTGGCAACGGGACATTAGAGAAGACATGATAGCTGAGAAGGGCCGGGAAGGTTAGTTCTATGGAGGAAGTTTGCTAGGCTGTGTTCTCAGCAGACCATTCTGGATCCATTTCTCCTGGTACCCAGTGCAGTGGGTCCTTTGAATTATATAGATTCACATCTTTTATCTCTGGAATATCTTCAAGGGTTGTAATTTTGTTTTTAAAAAATTATTTATTTTTTGAGAGAGGGAGAGCTTGCTTGAGCGGGGGAGGGGGAGGAGCAGAGGGAGAGAGTCTTAAGCAGACTCCGTGCCCAGTGCGGGCGCCCCTGTAAATTTTATTTTATTTTTTAAAAAATGTATTTATTTATTTTAGAGAGAGAAACAGAAAGCATGAGTTGGGGGAGGGACCCAGGGAGAAACTCTCAAGCAGACTCCCTGCTGAGCGGGGCCTCTGGGGCTTGATCTCACGACCCTGTGATGCGGACCTGAGCAGAAGTTAGGAGTTAGAGGATGCACAGCTGACAGCCTCCTAGAGCCCCAACAAGGCTTATAGTTTCAAATGGTGGTTTTGTTACATTGTTACAATTTCCTTCTCCAGGACACCTTTTATCCATTGTAGACACAGCCTTCCTTGTAAGTTACAGCCCATGTGGTGTGGTTTAGAGTGTTGTTGGAGTCTGGAGCCTGCGGCCAAGAGATGTCTTTGGGGCTTTATTAAAGCACGGGGACAGTACCCGTGGGCAGAAAGAGCTGCTGTTCCGGGATTGTGAGGAGGGAATGTTACAGACTTAGGGGTTGGGGAGGGAAAGACAAAGGGAAGTTCCAAAAGGACTTCACTCCGGTAGAGACTCACGGCAGCGTCCGGGGGGGCCTGGTTGTGGTCAAGCTGACGTGGTTTTTCCCTCCAACAAAGTATGATCGTGAGTGTAAGGACCTATTTAGCCAGAGGCTTCCAGCCAGGTTAAACAATAACCTTGTTGTTTAACCCTTAAACTGTCCCTGCTCCCCTTCCCCCAGGGGACTTACTTAAAAACAAGTCCTGGAAAACAGCCCCAGGTAACAAAGCCCAGATATAAGGGTGTGTCAGGCCAGGTGGAGACATCCGATCAGTGGGGGGTGCATACTGTCTCCCTAGCTCCCAAGGAGTATGGGCCCCGCCCTTTGGAAGCCCAAAGGGCGGGGCCCATACTCCTTGGGAGCCCTTTGGGTGCCAATTCTAACCAAGGTGATAGGCTGGGTCAAATGTCTACTATAGGGTAAATTGTAATTCAGTTGGTCACCTAGCATCACTGTGCAGCTTTCTCTGTGTGTTACAATCTCATTGGCCACCTGTGCGTGGTCAGGCCCAACCCTAAAAACTAGTCTGTGAAACAGAGCAGGGTTGCCCTCTCTTGTAAGACGTGTGGCCCCGAACATTCGGTTTGATTCTCGGTGCTGGCATGAAATAAAGCTTTACTTGACCTTCACTTTGTATCAGTCTCGCTCCTTTAATCACGGACCCATTATTGGGGGACCTAACAGTGAGGACAGTTGGGAGCTTCCTGGAGGAGGTTACGTTCCGTGGCCTCAAGTGTTTGTCAGTGGGCTGCGGGGTTATAAGCGCAATCAATCTTATCTCTCTCTCTGCCTCTGTTCCCGCATAGCACTCACAGCTGCTTGAGACAGGCAGGGTCACCTTCCTCCAGGATCTCAAGGGTCTTATGTGGATACTTGCTGAAGGGCAAAAGGCAACCGCAGTGTGACAGCAGCTGGACCTTCAGGACCCTGCAGGTCTCCTTTCACAAATGGCGGTGGCCCCGGGGTATGCGTGCAATCACCCAAGCACGTGACCCACCGAGAGACCTTTGAAGGGTCTCCTGACTAAGGCTTTACCAGACAGTACTGAGTGACCCCTCAAGGTCCTAGAAATTCCAGATTCCTTAGAGGCTCTCCCTAAACCCCTCCCAACTGAAAGTAGAGAATCAGGACTGCTTCCCCCCCCACCCCCAGCAGCTCTTTGTGCCCATGGGTCCTGGCCCTATACTTTAATAAAACCACCCCTTTTGCACCAAAGATGTCTCAAGAATTCTTTGTTGACCGTTCGCGAACCGCAACACTTCACATCAGTATCCACTGGAGTGAAAACACAGACCTTCCCCAGTACCAGAATCAGTCTGTCGCAGAACACAAAGAACACATCGAATGAGGGAACATTTAATGTAGCACAACACACACGGTAATTGCCACATGACGTAAATGACAGAGTTGAGACCAGACATGGCAGTCATAGGCAGACACGTTACTTAACCCTTGAAAAAGAAACTTTAAAATGGCTCAAAAGCAAAACCCAAACTCCATGGTATAAAAGAGACGCACCTGAAGTGCAGGGGTTTGAAAGGGACAGAGACTGACCTGGCCAGTGGAGA